CCTTTCGTTTTCTCTCTCTCTCTCTCTCTCTGTCTATTTCTTTCTCTTTCCTTCTTCTCTTTCCACTCTCTTCCTCCTCTGGTATGATGTGATTGTTGTGTGGCAGGTGCAGTATTCACAATCGAGGAACGGCTTTTATTCTCAACCGTTCGCTCAGAAGATTCTCGTTTCTACTCGGTTCATGTCCTCTATACTTTGTATATTATTTATGGTTGAGTGTGCGTTCCCATATACATACACCTCTGGTTAGAAGAAGCGCGCGCGCCTTTCGTAGCGCGCACGTGTTTCACCTTCTTCTTTTCTCTCTCTCTCTCTCTCTCTCGTATTTATTTATTTCTTTTTTGTATAAGCCAAATATACAAAATATATATATATATAATTTAAACTATTTAATAAAAAGAAAATTTTGTTCGAACGTTAACAAAATGACTTTTGTTAAAAAAGTGACTTTTGTATTTATATATTAATATAATAATATATAAATAAAATTAATTATACGTTATTATTATTATTATTGAAAAATTTCCGTGATTAATTTTCTATGCGATTAAGAAAATTTGTTAGGAAAAATAAAAAGACAGACGAATACAGGCGATAGAAAAAGAAAAATAATACTAAAGCGAGTAACTAACTTATATTTATTTGATATGAACGTTTTTGCGAGCGGGTTTCGTGACGTCGTTGTCGTCATAGTTCGTCATTGGTTGACAGGGAAGACGACGAGGTAGCTTCTAGGAGCAGTTGCGTGAAGCGATGCGCGCGCACTTCAGTCGCGCCTTTCAAGTGTGACGTCATTGGTTAGCGAGGCGACGAATTAACCAATGGAGTGACGCCACGTCATTGACTGCTTATTCCTTCTACTTCGAGTCGTCTCCGTCGTTGTCGTTGTCGTCGTCGGCGTCGGTGTCGGCGTCGGTGTCGGCGGAGGAGGAGACGACGAATCACGTGACGTCATATGCTACACAACGGAGATCCACGCCGCCCGCGCGTTCGAGTTCAACAACCTCGGGCACCCGAGTTCAATACACCGGCGGACTCGAGGAAAGATATACCAGCGGGCGGCCGGCTCTTCTCTTCTCTTCTCTTCTCTTGCGAGTTTACACCAGTGAGTTCCTTCTTTCGCTTCGACCTTATCCCTATACAACACCTCTTCCCTTTCATTACTTCTTCTCTAGCGGGATTCTTTATTGCTAAGAGTCGTTTCCTTTATCTTTATCGTATCTAGAGATCCGATAATATGTTAAGTATTTGATGAAATGTTTATTATTTTCAATGTCCCCGCTCGTCCATTCAAAATGGCTGTTATTTTCAATCAATCAGGTGACTCCAATATATACAAAATAATGATCACGAAATTTGAACTGATGTATTATTACGAATTAACATGAAAATGAACAATTTGGAATCGTCAATAGATGATATGTATGAAAAAGTGACGTACGTACTCTGTTACTGTTACTTGAGAAAGAAAAAGAATGGCACAGTCTCGTTTCTTATTTCATTTCTTAAATAACTTCGACTATATTTGGGTTCATTTGAACTTTCGACGTTTCGGAATCTATTATCGTTTGATTTTCGTTCGATCCATGACTACCACTATTTCCGTATGCATATATATAAATATATATAATTATATACATAGTAGTTTTATCTGTGAATAATACCCATAAAAGAAATATCATTAATTGAAGAAGTTACGTTCCCAGAAAGAATAACCGCATTGAAAAGATTAGAATCTTTTTCAAGTAACGGTGTCTCCTCAGTGTCTTCTTATTTGTTCATTTTCGTCTTCTTTCGCGATTCTACTCGCTACCGCACAAGCTGCATTTCTATTTTTTTTCTTATTTCTTTACTTTGATTTATATTTATTTCATTCCTTGGCCGCGCTATACCATTGGTCTGTTTTCATGCATTTGTCAACCAAGAAAGTTAAAATTAGTCGTCGCAACGTTGCACTGGGGGGAGTCAATGACACTTTTCTGTATACGTATTTCTCGATATGTGTATCCAAAAATTAGAAATATAGAAAGTTAAGTGCTCGCGTGTGATCACTCTGATTTTTTCCATTTGGATTCTCTCTTTTTTCAACAATGTCGCTCGATACAATTGATAATAATATTGTTTATCTTATAAGAATATACGTAAATGCATATATACGTGTAATTTTTAATTATTCCTTTGATTATTCGTGAAATATAGAATTTTAAGGTGAGGAAAATTTGGTGCGTTGACACCATAAACAGCAGAGGGAATGTAGCAAGTAGGTACACTTGAGTCACGTGGTTAGAGAGGAGAAGGTGCGTGTCGAGACCACGTGGTTTTGCATCTGATAAGCGAAACTCAACATGAATGGAATTTACACCTACACTTTGTACTTTACCACTTCGGTAAATACTTTCGATTATTTCTTTTTTTCTTATACAATTAACCTATACTTACAAAAGTACAAGGTAAATTATACATACATATATGAAATATATTGATTAAATTATTCGAATTTGTTGTTTAAAATGATTGTTTTTAAATTTAATCTTTCTTTCCATGTAATAATACATTGTTTCATTTAGGATTGATATTAGAAGAAAAAATTTGAAAATGGGAATGGAGAAAGAATTATAGAACAAAATGAAGCAACATATAATCTATTATTATCATTCATTCGATCGTGTTCTTCTTCCTTTGACGCACAGATGGTAACTAGTAAACACCAGTCGAGTTTATCGATTCGTATGAAAGTAACAGTGTTCTTGTGAAAAAGCGAATCGGACTAGATAAGAGAAGGCGTTGGCATACTTTCGCTCTTTGGTGTAAAATATCTTCTTATTGACTTATTGTGAAATACTTGCTGGAGAATCGAAGACGCGTTTCGGAATTGTATATTCGGGAAGAGAAAAAAAACACAATCTAAAATAGAACGATCGATTATTATCCTCCTGATGAAAAAACAAATTCTTTTGATAAAACATTGATTTTGACCTAATATAAGGTAAAAGGGGACAAAATAAAATTAAATTCACATATATACATGTGTAAGAAAGATATCCTGGTACGACTTTGATAAATGTCCTGATATAAAAATAAAAAAAAAAAAAAATGACAAAAAATACAATTGAGAATCACTGTAAGGAAGAATTTTTACCCTAAGATAAACCAACGGTGAAACAAGAGAAACGAAACCGGAAGACGGCGGGGTTCTATATACCTCTATGTATTTTGGGTACACGCGTATGTTTGCGAGAAAAGTGGGGATACAAAATTGTCGGTCGACGAACGAGTTTTTTTTTCTCTCGATAAACACAACCAATGCATTTTCGAAGTTATACTTATATATGTTTTCTTTTCTTTTTATTGCTTATGTTTTTAAACGATAACAATTAGTTCAAGGTTTTTCTTATCAACGTTTAAATTTATATGACAACCGTTGTGTATCTATTATGCATTTAAATTCCTTCCAATTTGATTTTTTTTTTCATTGTTTAGTTCAAAATCAACCAACAGTTTTCTCTTACATACATACATAAGTGCATTGACACATTTGCATTCTCATATTAGTTTCCATATCAATCCTTTGCCTTTTTTAGAATCGATGGATTATAGAATCGATGTTAACTAGACCTTTATGAAATTTTTGTATCGAAGAAAAAAAAGACAGAAGTCGGAATTTGTAGTCGATTTTGAATTGTAAACCGTGCAACACCCTTCATTGATTTATTTCTTAGGGTGTAATCGAGAAATCGGTTGACCAAAGTCGATTTAAAAATAAGTAAGCTAGGAAACCGGCTGAAGAGGAGATACCGGTTGAGAGACCTTGACATAAAATTACCCCCTTTTTCGGGTTCCGAGAGGTTTCGATGAAAAGCTTTTATTATCTTCGCTTATTTATGGTCGAGATGATGCGTTACCTTTCGTTTAAAGCAATTAGGTTTTTCCTTTCTCTTACTTTTGTTTTTAAAGAAAATAAGAAGATATGTACTCGTAATCGGTATAACATTTTAGCTATATATATATAGTATTATATATTATTTTGTTAATATAGATATAAATATTAAACTATATATACTTTACTATAAATATTCTACTTAAAACGCGAAAGGATAAAAAATAACTTCAAAACAAAAATATCAACATCAAAAATAACTGCAACTATACCGCGTGCCAATATAATACATACTCTAAATTTGTCAATAAGACGATAAAATGATAAAATAAAATAAAGATATTTAATACAATTGATTTAATACAATACGGTAAATTGTGCATCTTTGCAATTTGTTTGAAAAGTTTTTGGGGGGTGGGAGGGGTTGCATATGGCTGTGTGTGTCTGTGTCCGAGAATGTATTCTTTTCAACATTGTTTAAATAATAATTTGATTTTCTATAGGATATCAAAGTATTATGTTCAATGCTTAGGAAAAACTCTGTTAAAAGTCTTATTTCCGACTTCGTCGGAAGGCGCTTTGCATTGATAACAATGCCGACGAATTACTAGTAATGACTGATTTCCGGCTTCGACAGAAACATATATATATATATATAATTAATAAAAATAATTAAATTTATTTATTTATACGTGAGGAAGAAGAAGGGTTTAATTAAAATAAGAAATAAAACACTTGGTTGAGCCAATAGAACAAGGTATAATACATTATCGGCTCATCAGGGAAAAGTCTTGTGGCATAAAAACCCTTGTTGATAATTCAAAAAAAAAAAATAGTAAAAGAAATAAATACTAGAAGTTAAATATTAAAAATTTTGTGTACGTGACAAAAGGCAGGTATAGTAGGTAGTAAAGAAGTTGCTTATTCGTAGTCGTCGCGTGGTGGAGGGTGAAAGGACAAACGTAAAGGATGGATGGATGCATCGGGCGGTGGCTCGAGCGCGATTGTCACGATGCGTCTGTAAAACAGGGCCATTGCGCACGCGCGCTTCCCCAATCGCGTCCGTCCGTCCGTCCGTCCATCCATCCATCCATCCTTCCTTCCTTCCTTCCTTCCTTCCTTCCTTCTTCCCTCCCTTCTCCCTTCTCCCCTTCCTCCTCACCTTATTCTGTTGACGAAGGAGAGGAGCGCGCGTTTCCCTTTGGCGTGCAGTTTCCCCCCTCTCACCGCACTGTTCCGCATCGAACAACGACGACGACGAGAACGCCGCGGCATGGCTCTAGCCATCCCCACTCTTACGGAATTTCTAGCCACCCCCACTTTACTCTTAGTTACTCCGTGCAGCCACCGTCGTCCCGGTCGTCGTCGCGCCAGTCGCATGAGAACCTTCGTGGGGAAAAGGGGTATTTTTTTTTAGTGCGCAGAGTTTGCCTTTTTCCTTACTTCATACTGCCATTAGTCTATATATATATATATTTAAATATATATATATATATATATTTTAAGATAATATAATAATATAATATATATATATATATATACGTGCGTGTGCGTGTGTGAGTGTGTATCATCAGTTTATAAATCATACAACATTTCTATATATGATCAATCGAGAAAGAGAGAAATAGATAGTATAGTGTCACGTTTTCATTGGGAAATCTTCTTGATAACAAAGCCAAGCAGTGTGTGTAGTCAAAGAAGAAGAAGAAAAGAAAAAAAAGAAAAAAAAAGGGAAAAAAAAAAAATAAAATACATAAAGAGAAAAAATGTACAGCAATATTGGCGCAGCATGTGCGTCGTGGTAACGGAAACCGCGAGTGTTCATAATTAGTGTTGTATAGTGATGTTTGCTGCTATGTTGATAATGGTGTTAAAATGATATTAGTATTGTCATAACGAGTAAGATTGTGTTCAACAGAAGAAATAAAGAGAGAAAGAAGAGTAAGGAAGAAAGAAAAATAAAAGAGAAGAAGAGAGTGTCATCGTTCCTCGTTGGTCTCTTTGTCATTATTATCGTATGAACGAACATAGGTGTTCTCTTGAGCGTGGTATTAAAACCGTAAACGCGGCGTCGTTCTTGGGATCGACGCCCTGCGTCCGTCCGTCCGTCTGTCTGCCTGTCTGTCCATCGATAGGTCGCGAATTGTGCTCGTGTGGATGATGGATGATTGAGAGTGATGATGTCTAACTACTAAGTGTCAAACTGTTGCCACCTGCCTTCTCTTTTCGAATATTCTTTTTCTTTTCTCATGCGTGCTTTATTTTTCTTCATAACTTTGTGATCATCATCGCAACCCACACGACCAAATATTGGATTAAGATCTTCCATTATCTGCTTACGGATCAATTTCAATGGTGAGTTGTTATTTCAAATAATTCTTTTCTCTAACCGTTCGAATGGGTTTAAACGTTAAATGAATGTCCTTGATGAAAGATAAACAAATAGAAACACATAGGTTTCTTTTTTTTTTTTTTTTTTTTTTTTATATTGAAATACTTGATTATTGTCGAAAGATTTTCGCGTAGAGTTATCGCGTCACCGTAAGATTTTATTCTATATCATAAGAATGGTCAGGTTCTTTGATTTTTCGGAGCTCGAATTAGAAAAAAAGAGAAAGATAAAGATAGATATATATATAGAGAGAGAGAGAAAAAGAGAGAGAGAGAGAGAGAGAGAGAGAGAGAGAGAGAGAGAAAGAAATAAAGGAAGGAAGAGAAAAAGAGAGAAGAGAGAAATGGCGAGTGAAAGCAGCCTGGGCGTGAAATTTTTGGCGACTGGCTCGATCGATGCTTCGTGGACGAAGAGGACGAGGGGGCCTCTTCTCTCCCTCCCTCGTTCTATACCATCATCCTCGTCCTTTGACCCTTAAACGAGCAAGCGCCGTGTGCGCGCAAGGAAGGTACTACAGCCCTTCCTTCCTTCCTTCCTTTCCTTTCTTTTCTTTTCAATTCTTTTTAGACTTTTTCTTCCTTCCTTCCTACTTTCTCGTCTTTCTTATTTTCCGTCTTCTTGTTTGTTATCCCTTCGTTCCTTATCTTATTTTCACTTTCTATTAACGGTACGTTTTAAATTCTTTTTGTTTACATATATATATATACATGTAAACAAAATTGTAATAATCTATTGATTATATTGTAATTGTTCCTCGAACAAATGTCGATTTTAATTTTCTAAATTAAAATATGAGAAGGGATTCCTATTTAACAGTAAGATTAAAATAATGTGTTTCGACATTCTAATATAATATTCCCACGAATAAAATGTAGAAATAATCGATCAGAATTGTCGATTACCGTGTATATTAGGTCAATGCAACAAGTCTCATAAACGCCGAGTCGGATGATAATGCGCGAAAGGTTGTTGAAGAATGTCGCGTTCAGCGCATTACTCTCTCTCTCTCTCTCTCTTTCTCTCTCTCTCTCTCTCTCTCCCTCTCCCTCTTTACAAATGTGTATTGCTACAGCTGAAAAACTAGGTCACTCGTATATATATATACACTTTAAGTTTGGTATGTGTATATTTTGTTCGTACGTGTTCGCGCCGTTTGCTTGGCTTACCACTCGCCGCAACTCGCTTGTGACCTGGCCACGTTAATTGTGACTTGTAATTACTTTATTACGAGAATAGAATTTAATCGGTCCTCCCCCCCCCTTCTACCCCTCTTCTTCTTCTTCTTTTGTCTTTCTTTCTCTTTAATATGCAACATATATTAACATAATTTTTTTTTTTCATCGTTTAAATCGCCATCGTGTTCCTTTTATTTTCATTGACCAATTATAAATAATATATATACCGGATTAATTTTGCAAAACAATAAGGTGGATACAATATTCGAATGAGGAGCATTTTTACCCTTACGTGAAACTTTATTTAATTTTAATAAAAAAAAAAAAAAGAAAACCCCGAATTAAAACCTACGAAAAAAGAATGAATGTACACAGAGAGATGCGTGCGTCATTATTGCGTAGGGAATGATAGAAGCTCTCTGCAAGTCGGCACAGTACAGAATTGAAATTCCTGATTTCACGGTCAGTGACCATGGCATTCGGGCAATGCCGCGATGTTGTCGAACGAGTCGAAGATCACTGCCCTTGCTTTTTTTTTTCCTTTCGATGCAATGGGATCGATGACATTAAATGCCATTATTCCCATAAACATTATTTCGAAAACAATTACGAATGTAATAATAATAAAAATAAATATGTGTGCGTGCATGCGTGCATGCATACGTACGTGCTTGAATGTATGTAATTTTTATTGATTACTTATAACAAATATTAGATTTCGAAGTTAATCGACAAAGTTTGAGTAATTTCGTTCGTTCGTTCTTTGATATTAATGGTAGACACGGTGCGATATCCCATAAGAAAGTAATCCACACGCGAAACTAGTTTTATAACGTGTACGAAGGGTTACGTCTATGTACTTATGTATAATCAGGGTGCGAGAAAGATAGGAATAAACAGAGAAAGAAGAGAGAGAGAGAGAGAGAGAGAGAGGGGGGGTTTAGACTGGATGTATGCGCTTGCACGCACAGTTAGTCACGCGTACACACGCGTGCTTGCTTTTTGCTTGAGAGAAAAGATGATACAGGTACTAGATAGAGATACTCGCTCTCTGCGAGGTCATTCAACCCAAGCTTACTTATTTTATACTCTTCCAACCTTCTTTTTCTTATTGCCTTCCATTTTTTTTATTTCATCTTATCTTAATCCATATAAGAGAATGAAAAGACTAATATAACATTCATATAATTTCCTTTTATATTCTTAATTATTTCTTGATATTTAGAACAAAATTATTATACGTAATTTTTTGATTGTCAGAGAGGGGGGGGTAGGGAGGGAGAGAAAAAACAACAAATAATTCAACAGTATTTTCTTTGTTCCTACTTACCTCCCTTTATCTTTTTCTGGAATATAAATAGTCGTATTATGTTGAGAAGAGCGAGGTTTTGTCGGTTCTGAGGAAAGCCACGGAATGGCCATGAGAGTTCACTATCCCCACGACTGAGTTTCATCTCTTCTACCATATCATTTCTCGTGTGATCTCAACGTTTCAAATTCGAGATATTTCCATCATTGGTGACAGACAAACAAACAAACAAACAAACTAACAAACATACAGATAGGCGGATAAAAGCGTAGTTATCGATGAGGTAAGAATCTTTTCCGTTGTAGACATCAAAAAAGGATTTTATCTTTTAGCCCATGCGAAGAAAACGATATCCTTTCTTGGCTCCTAAAACTGGTTCCACTGTCGTTGCACTTTCTTGAGCTACATCGACCGTTGTCGTCGTCTTCTTCGTCGTTTTCGTTGTCTTCGTCGTTTTACCTCTTTCTATTCGTCCTTTGCTACAACAGCAAAAGGAGGAAAGAGAAACGCGAAGGAGCAAGGAAGAAAGATAGTAGTAGAAGATAGAAGAAGCTAATGCCGAAAGAAAGGGATAGCCCTGGTAGAGAAACGACGAATAAAGTGCAAGGTCTCTTTCTATCTCAACCTCAACTTCAGCGCGTCTTCTTCTTGGCCCCTCAAATACCGTCGTTCGTCCCCATCGAGCCTCTCAAGCAAAAGCCCAGGCACAGGCCTACCTTTATCCCTTCCTAACTTCTTTTTTACTTCTATGCAGACCCAATCCAACAACAGAGGGCGCATCGTTGTTAGAAGGCTTAGGAGGAGTGAGTTTTCGTGTCCAGCAACAGCAGCTTGCTGCTGCTGTTGCTGCTTCTTCTTCTTCTTCTATATCTTTTTTCTGTCCTTTTGCCTTTCTATCTTCAAGCAGTTCGCAAAGGCCCACGGGAGTGACCCTGAAAGTTCAACAGCCCTCCCTCGAATGGCGCCCCTTTGCTCCTCCGCATACCCCACCGATACTCCTCCTCTCCTATACGAATCCTAACTTTGCTTAGGGACTCCACTTTTTTACTTAATTCTTCTCTACTAACCCTGTAGAGAGAGAGAGATCTCCTTATTTTTTAAGAATATATTCCAACGATATTAAATTATCAATAAAGCGAATAATCGAACAATTTTTACTCTTGTTGTATATTATTTATTCGATTATTACCAGATTTTTTTATATACATTTCCTTATTATTATAATAATCTTCTTGTTGATATATTGAAGAGAATTTTGATTTGATTTGATTTATTAGAAAAGAGTGTGTGATGTGCAACAGGTAGACTGAATGAATGCTGCCCATGGGAATCGATAAAATTCGACATCTTTCTGATTTATTTCTTCATTTTATGATGAGGATACGCTCGAATTTATTTCCAACGATATATCAAAGTTCTTCGTAGGTAGTATGTTTAAAGTCAATTCATACTTTGCATAGAAAGAGAGAGAGAGAGAAAGAGAGAGAACGTTAAGAAATGGTAGTCACGATATATCGTGGCGAGAGAAGCACGTTGAGTAAGGTCAAGGCGACAGCTGTTTTACCACCGTCGTCATTGTCGTCCTCGTAGTAGTCGCCGTGGTTGGTTACCACTCCTCCGCTAGTAATTGTTTTCCTCATCACCTATGGAGAGTGATGTATACACGGGTTTAAACTTCTATAACTGCAAATCAAATCCCTGACTTCACCGATTTGATAACGTCATCTTTAATCAAACTTTATCGTCATAATAACGCACGCGAGTATTATTTATATCATATTTTTCATCGATGTATTCTCCCCCTCCTTCCCTCCCTCCCTCAAATTCATAAGTTATTAATAATTTTAATTGTTAACATATAATTATATTTTCTTCGTAGAAACAATTACAATGAAGCTTACAGATGTTTATCCCTGCAATTGATTAAAATAACAAACACCCCTTTCTTCGTTCAATCGGAATAAGAAGACACTCCTCTCCCCATTTAATTTCAATATAATCGAATAAATAATTCTTCTCAGTTTTCTTGAAAATAATATTTTTTCAAAAAAGTTATTCTCTTTTCATTTCTCAAAACTTGCTCTCATCTTGTCAGCTGATAGCAATTTAACAGCATTCGTATATGGTTGATATCCGAAGAAAACGAAGAAGATACGTACGATAGTGTTGTTACGTGTTGCCTGCCTGTTCGATGAAGGCCTCGTCCTTCGTACATATACACACAACACACACACACATACACATACAACACAACACACGGAACCCACACATGTTCTATAGAAAGAAAGATAGTTGGGAGAGAGAGAGAGAGAGAGAGAGAAGATATTACACTGAAAATGAATACGCGTGTGTGTGTATACGTGTATATATATGTGATGATGAACGTGCTGAGCGAATGCAATTTGCAGTCGTAGCCAACCATACGCGCCATGCAACGGCGCGTAATCGAAGCTTACGTCATCTCCCAACTCCCACCAAT